CATTCACTACTGGGAAAACGAAGGAAAATGGCCAAGCAGAACCACCCCAGGGCACTGTGACAGCATTTACTGAAGATAGGAGCAGCTGCAGACATGCCGGTTCTGCGTGGCGCAGTCATTCTAGGACCGCACGCCGGGAGAGGGATCCCGGCCACTGGGCTATGGGGCTGTTAAGCTGCATGATCAGGAAGCTCAGCTCCTCCTCCTGCTGTGACCAGGGCTCTAGGGTCTGAGTTTTGCTGTTGCAGTTATTTGATGTGGTCAGCCACCAGCAGGATTTACTGCAGTGTGTTCGTGGCTGGAGAAGCATCAGCCCTTCCTCTGACATGATTAAAGGGCTGGGGTCCAAACCTTGTAACTGATCAGTGTCTTAGGCACTTAGCAATGGCTAGATTCCATGGAGCCTTGTAAGGGGCCAACTCCTTTCCCGGGAGGCCAGCCTGCAAGGGACAAACAGGTTAACTCTTACCTCTCATTCATTGTAGAATGATTATAGGAATATTCCAGAATGTATTTATATGTTCTAGTGTTCATAATGGACATATGGGTTGTTTCTAGTTTTTTATTTTTCTTCTGCTATTACAGTGTTTCTGTGAACATTCTGGTGCAAGGGTTTTTCTAGGTTAGGAGAGGACTTATATATTAGGGAATGACAATTTTTCAACATAGGTATACCAGTTTATATTCTAATTAACATTGGTAGAATGTTCTGTCTTCATACCCTCACCAATGCTTAGTATTTTCTGGCTTTTTAATTTTTGCCACTCTGGTGGGTATATAATATTATCTTGAAGTTTAATTTTTCACATTAATGATTACTGGTGTTTTTTTTTGTTTTTTTTTTTTTTTTTGTGAGACAGAGTCTCGCTCTGTCGCCCAGGCTGGAGTGCAGTGGCCGGATCTCAGCTCACTGCAAGCTCAGCCTCCCGGGTTTACGCCATTCTCCTGCCTCAGTCTCCCGAGTAGCTGGGACTACAGGCACCAGCCACCTCACCCAGCTAGTTTTTTTGTATTTTTAGTAGAGACGGGGTTTCACCATGTTAGCCAGGCTAGTCTCGATCTCCTGACCTCGTGATCCGCCCGTCTCAGCCTCCGAAAGTGCCGGGATTACAGGCTTGAGCTACCGCGCCCGGCCAGTGATTACTGTTGAAGTTGAACATCTTTTCAGCCACTTACAGACCATTTGAGTTTTTCCTCTTGTGAAATGCCTGTTAGTGTCCTTTGCCTAATTTTCTATTTGTGTTATCCTTTTCTTGATTCGTAGCAGTTTTAAACGTGTTTTTTTGGATAGTAATCCTTTGTCAAGAATGTATTGCAACTGTCTTCTCACTTTGTGTGCTGACTTTTCACTATTTATTGTATCTTGTGACTTCTTCTTGTGAGGTGTTCATGTTGTTTGTAACTTGATCTGTCAGAATTCTCTGAGGCTTTGGCTGAAATCACCTTTCAGACAGGACCTGCATTTGCTTCTTCCTGAAGCCTGGGAATCACTTTCTTTATCGCCCCACCTGGGATCACTTTAAATTAAATTCAGCCCTTGAGGTTTGTTCCTAGATTGAACCTGAGGGGTTCTCCTTTCTCTTCTCTCCTTCAGTCTGAGGATTTGACTGCACACACCAGAGAAGAGGGTATTACACTTTTCATTCTCAGGGTGATTTTTTTTTTCAATACATCCAGCCCCAAGATAAAAATAGGCAGGATTCCTTGCTGCCCACTCATGTCAGAGGCTTGTTTCTCCTTCACTTACACTGAGGACAGGGCCCTATGAAGTTCCAGCTTTGGAGGAGGCCTTGCATCTGAAGTTGTTGCCTTTGCAGTCTCCAGGCTTGATCTGCAGTCCTCTTTGTTCATCAAAGCAGAAGGCCAAGGTCTCCAGGGTCCTGCAGTACTTCCCAGAATAGAAGCTGATTTTACTTCCCAGAGTTTTTGCTTTTTATTTTTGGCCTATCTGCATGCCTCATTCCCCATGTTAATTCAGCAGTAGTCTAAGGATATTTTAAAATATTTATCATCTGGTATTTTAGTTGTTTACTTCAGGTTGATCCGAGTATCTAGTGTTCCTACTGCTGGAACAGAAGTGGCACTTTTCCATGAAATGCTCTCGCGTAAGTGTCCAGACAGGGAGCTGAATTCAGCTGAACTAACAGGCAGTGAAGTCTTCTGTTCCCTTTGTTAAAAACAAAGCAGCATGAAGTTAATTTGCTCTCAATGTGTAATGTAAATCTGTGGGAGCTGGTGGGGGCGTGGGGAATGGAAAGGCAGGGGATACCCTTAGGTCTTATATAGATACAGCCACAGCCTCTGTCCCCGTCCCCACCTCCCCAAAAGGGCAGGAAGAGACAAAACCTGACGGGCCCTGAGCAGCTCTGCTTCCTGCCACAGGTCGGAGACAGTGGTTATTGTTCCCAGCGGGTCTGCTGAATTGTTCTCAAGGCCCAGCAGGGGCCTGCTCACATCAGAAGGCGGTAAGAAGGGAGGAAGAGAGAAACTGGGCAACATTTAGACTAGATTTTGGTACCTAGGAAAGCCAAAGTTTAGATTGCTTTCCCCGAGAGAAAGCTAGTGCTGCAATGGACTTCATCGTTCATATAGTTTGTACCTTTGTTTCAGTAAACAGACTCCTTTGACGTGGAATTGTTGACAAAATCTACGAACAATTTATCAGTTGCCAAAATCATGTACCTATATACACTTGGAAGTAGGAGATAAACAATTGCATTGTTACTGGAGTATCACAGTAAAGCAAATGGATACCTCGATGATTATATGGGATAGGGGAAAGTCTTTGCCATACTCAAAACTACAAATATGAGAGGGAAAAATTCATTGTTACATAATCCTTTCTAAGATAACCTGGCAGAGAAAAGCCAATGGCCAATTAGATGGAAAATTTATAAAATGAGGATGCCGGCCCCTTGATTTGGGAAAGTTCTTTACAGACGAGGCGAGAAATAGTGGAGAGTAGATAAAAGACATGAAGGGTAACTTACGTGACACGAGTGGCTAGAAAGATGCTTGACTTCTAATCAAAGAGAGCCCCTTCAAAACAGCCAATGCCATTTGCCTTATGATGCTCAGATAGGCAAAGGTTTAGAGTGTTACTGGCCTGTGGTGGCAAGCCTGCACAGTGGCCTTGGGCGGGGAGACAGACAGTCCCGAGCCCCATGGTCATAAGAGGTGTGGTCTTGACCCAGTAGTTCTAAGAGTGTCTTTCAAGAAAATAGTATACAAAGAACTATATGCTTAAGTAATTGTGTTCAACACTTGTCATCCTTAACCGACTTGGTCTCTATCAACAGATCAAATGCCATAGCTCAACCACAGTTTAGAAAATACATCTATTTGAAATGATAGGAAATGATACAAGACGTCTACCCTTGTGTTAAACAAAGCAAATTCAGTTACACAGCGTTATTCCAATTGGTACCTCTGGAAGTTTGAAATCCTCACATGAGCTTGTATGATGGAGGGAGGGGAAGAAGGAAGAGTTAATGCTGGAAGGAACCAGAACCCAGGCCCCTAAGACCAAGTCAGCCTGGCTCCTCCAACCAGCCAAGCTAAGAATCCTCATCTATGCCATACTGACCCTGCAGGATATATCCTATGTCCCCCTGTACACGCCAGGAAGCTGGGCAGGGCAAGACTGGCCGTTGCTAGCCATAGATGGGAAGACAGGCCCAGAGAAGGGAAGTCACTTAGCTTCCATGGCAAATGTTTGGGCCTTCCTGCCTCTCATGTTCTCCCTCTACCTAGAAGAGTCAAAAGACAGCAGTTTCCCCAGCCCCTTTTCGTACTGGCCTGTAAACTTGTACATTCAAAACCAAACCAAAACATTGACAACAAAAACTAAGTAAGCATTAGGCTTGGGGCAAGAGGAAATGAAATTCTAGTCAGTAGTTAATAGCACCCAGTTACTGTTGGCTGTTAGGTACTATTCTAAGCATTCTTATTTATTAACTCATTTTATCCAATACTTCTATTGGAATAGACATTAACCTCATTTTACAGATGAGAAATCTGAGGCCCAGGGAAGTTGAGTAACTTACTGATTATCACACAGCTACTAAGAAGCCAGCTCTGGGGTCCACATGCTTGACCAGTATTCTGAAGACAGGAAAGGCTGAGTAGGCCAGAGCCGAGAGGGTTCATGTAGTATCAAGACCACAGGCATGACTTGAGCACGTTAGCTCCCCTTATAACAGCTCTCTAAGCTCGTGCTCTACCTGGTCCAGAGAGGTGTCTGAACCCAAGTTCAGGCTTCCCTACCAGATTCTTCTCCCTGTCCCCTTGAGGCCAAACCCTAGCATCCTGCCCCCTTCTCTACCTAGAGGATCCACATGTCTGGAAAAGGCTTTGCTGCCAAGTCAGAGATGAAGGCCCATGCCGTGTATGGGCAAACTGGGCTCAGCGGCATAGCCAGCACCGGTACGGACCTGTCTGGTGGCCATGCCCACCGTGGCAGGTAGTGTCAGGGCCAGCAGGCTGCCATTCCTTCTGTGCCAGCCCTTCCCACATGGACTAGTCTTGGGAGGCCAGGGGAGGGGATGGGAGGCCGTGGTCAGAAATGCAGCTTTTACAGTAGGCTGGCAGGCTCAGGGGGTCTGTGAAGTGCCCCTTCAACTCAGCCTTAGAGTTCCCCTTCTCCACGACAGCAGCTGCTCTGGGTGCTTTGAGGATGCCCTGGCCAGAACCCCTGTGTCTGTGAGGAGACGACAAGCCTTCACAAGCCATTTGCCCAGCTGTTGCTGTTCTTTGCCAACATCTTAACCTCCAGTATCTTTTTCCTGTTTGCTCTGCCTGAAATGCCACCATTCCTTGTGAAGAGGGAGAGGCTCCCGAGTTAAGCCTTGGGGGACGTTGGCCTCTGTGCAGGGTGTGGCACATACGAAGTATTTATAATCGACATCACAGTTCTGGAAGGACGGAGCTGACTTGGAGGACGTTTCTCACATAAGAAAGAGTTCTGTTCTAGTGGTCACAAAAAACTTCTCCACACCTGGTTTCAGTAGGTTTGAAATGATTGTTTATTGAGCCCATTCACTGTTTTCCCAGAGCTTCTGGACCCAGGTCTGGCTCAGGCCCACAAAGACACCAAACCCAAGGACCAGGGCAACAGCTGGCAGCAAAAGGACCATCCAAAGGAGAGGCCTCAGGCTGGAGTTCCCATTGGAGTCTGTCAGAGAGAAGGGATTGGCAGGACTGGCTGAGGCCCCTCCAACCCTGCCCTCCAGCCCAGAACTTGGTATCACACTGGGCAGAGCTGAAGCTGCCTTTCTGCAGATGAGGTGGACTATGTCTGTCTTCACTTAGTTCCCCACTGACTGCAGTGACACCATCTCTTGCCCTCAGCTATGGCCGGAGCATCCCCGTTTTGTCAGCACAGTCTTGGGGGCTGGGAGTGGGTAAGGCCTGAGGGGCCCATCCAGAAGCCCTCATACCTGTGGGCCCAAGTGTGGGCTCCTGCCCATAAGAATCCTCAAAGCCCACTGGCCCCGGAGAGCTCACGATGTCCTGGGGCCTGGCAGCGTCATTACGGTGACCTGAGGATCGTCGCTGTCCTGCCCAAGGGAAGAATGAAATCTTGGCCTGGTCTCCTGCCCCTGTGGCCCAAAAGCCAGGCACAGGCCTGAAGGTGTATGAAGGAACAAATGCCACTCGCACCCCAGACTCACTTGCAGTCCCAGCGCTGCACACAGTGGAGCAAGTCTCCAGCCCTGAGCTGTGGCAGGCAGAGGCACTGCAGAACAAGTAAACCTGGTGGGAAGAGAACATCAAAGTGGCTGGCTCGGTGCCACCGCACAGGAAGCAGAGACAGGGACATGGGATCCCCAAGCTGGGCCAAGTCTAGGCTGCTGCTGTTCAGGCAGGGAGAAATCTGAACATTTTTTTTTTTTTTTTTTGAGACAGAGTCTCGCTCTGTCACCCAGGCTGGAGTGTAGTGGCCCGATCTCAGCTCGCTGCAAGCCCATTCTCCTGCCTCAGCCTCCCAAGTAGCTGGGACTACAGGCGCCCGCCACCACACCTGGCTAATTTTTTGTATTTTTAGTAGGGATGGGGTTTCACCGTGTTAGCCAGGATGGTCTCGATCTCCTGACCTCATGATCCTCCCGCCTCGGCCTCCCAAAGTGCTGGGATTACAGCTGTGAGCCACTGCGCCTGGCCGAAATCTGAACTTCTTGACCAAGAAGACGACTGCTGCCCATGCTGAGGGAGTGCAGAGCTGAATGTGTTCCTTCCTGATTTGAAATCCACACCTTCCCCCATCCCCAAGATCCAAGTCTGCAGTGGAGTGCCCTGCAGGGAGGGACCACCGCACTTCAAAGAGCCCCAGTCCTTGGCAGGCCTGCTCTACCAATGCTGCCTCTGGCTGCACAGCCCCCAGGAGGGCTGGATCTCTCCCTTCCACCTGCCTTACTGAGGGAGACAGCAAATTCCAAGGAGGTGGGGCTTGGCCAGGCAGCAGGAGAATGGATATTTGCCCTCCGTTTGTGACCCCCAAGACCAGTGACCGGGGGAAGAAGGGAGGGCAGATTACAACTGCTTCCAGATACACAAGGGCAGGGGCAGTGCCCTATGGGAGCAGAAGCAGGAGGAGCTGAGCTGACCCAGCAGGCCTCACCCACGGGCACCCCTCATCCAGGTAGGTCAGCGTCTCTTGGATCAGGAGGCAGCACACAGCAGAGATGAGAACGAAGCCACCCTAACCAGTGCTTACCAGTGAAATCAGTCTACATCTGACATAATAACAGGCAGTGATTTAAAAATCTAGAGATTTGGGTATGTGATGTGAAAGATACGTTATTCAACAGGACAAGAGTTACAGCGCGTCTGTCACCTCTGGGGCCATCTGTATATTACACAGAAAACCTAAATATACCCTAAGTTTATCTACGTTTACCTTCTGGAGAAGTTGCTAAGTTAAAGAAAATTCAAAGCAGAATTACATGGAACACATTATCATTTCTGGAATCAGAAGTGAGGCGAGGCTACCCTAGAACATCATGACCAGAGTTCAGATTTAGGGCTGATTGCAACACAGGCAGCGCTTTCCTTCCTCCTGGTGGTGGTTATGGGTTACCTCTTGCTGACCCAAAGCCCGCTGCCTTCCACGACACCTGGTAGAAGCCAAGCCCCATCCCAGAACTTTGTCCACATAAGTTCACAGGGTGCCAGAGGGATTTGGCAACCAGCTCCTCCCCAATTAACACGTGGGGCCAGGCCTGCAGCAGCCAGGGCTTCTTACCGGTCCTCTGAGGGCTCTCTGGGAGCCCGAGTCCAGGAGGGCGAAGGTGGCAACAGTGAATCTCTGGTAGTGAGACTGGAAAGGTGTGGCCCCATCCAAGGCTACCATTTGGGTTCTGTAGCTGTCGCCCTCGAAAGGGCATCTGAGAAGAGAAGTCAGAGGCTGTTTACAGGAGCCAGAGCAGGTGGGGGGAGCACGGGGACACTTACCCGTCTGACAGAATGGGCCACTGGGGCTGCTGGAAGGGGTTGGCACTGGGAGCGCCCCAGCACTGGTGCAGCAGCAGGACCAGGTTGGGGTCTGTCCTCTGCAGAAGCCGGACCTCCACATGGACTGGTTCTCGGAGCAGCCTCACGATGGGATAGTCGTCCTCCCCATAGTAGGAGCTGAAGGTCTCGTCTGCAGGGAGGGTGACTCATGAGCCAGGGTGGACTGTGCGTCAGGGGAGTGGGGGCCACAAGAGAGCAGGGATAGCATAGCATACCCTTGGCGATCCGCAGTTCAAGTCGCAGGGGGCCGGGCTGGGTCACAGAGGCAGGCGACGGGGGTGGGAAAATGGATGCCCGAATGGGCAGGAAGTCACTGGCATTGAAGACGCAGCGCACATGAAGCCTGAAGTCCATGTGCAAGGGGGTGGGGGAGAAGACACAGAATCAGGGCATCCTGTTTATGTGATAAACTAGGCACCAACTCCGTGGGTGCAACAAACTGGGTACTGTCCAGCAGGGCAGATGGATGCTACTTAAGCAACACTTTTCCAAGTCCGGCTCAGGAAGCTCACCCAGCCCCATCCTCTGTCCATCTGGTCTCCCTGGGATGGCTCAAGCCTGTTATGCCAGGCCCTGAACCTGGTGGGAGAATACATCAGGATAGAGATGGACCCTTGGGGGGCTGGCACCTTGTTGGGTCTGGCCTGGATACCCACAACTGCCTGCTGTGCCATTCGAGGCCCCTGGAGCCTGACAGTTGAGGCTGGCAGACGAGCCTAGGCGCTCTGCTTCCCAACAGACCTGGGTTTGAGTCTTCTTAGCATTGGGACCACAAGCAAGTCTTTTAACCTAAGCCTCAGTGTCCTCATTTGTAAAATGGCTGTGACTGCCTCCCTTTGAGGGTGCTGAGGCTGACTGAGATCACAAGATGATGCACCTGTGTCTTCATTGTCCTTGTAGTTGCAGCTGGTCTGCCACAGCCTAAGGGCCACAGTGTCTGGCATCTTCCTCACTAGCCTAAGGGCCATGTGGCCGTTCCTCCACACTCTGGTGGGGCCCACATCCTCCTAGCACCCCAGAGGCCTGGCACCAAGGAGATGCTAAGTAGGCAGAAGTGGCTCACCCCTGTTCAGAAGGACTTGTGTCTGAGCCCTCTGGCCTAGTCCTGCTGGCTGCAGCTGTTCCCCTGACTTCTGCCTCCCTTCAGGAATCCCCAGTCACTCTGTGTTGACCTCTGGCTGACTCTCATAGCTCTTACATCGGAGAGTCTAAGGCATGACACAGACTTGTCCCCCACCATTTGGCCATAAGAACTTCAGGGTTTTTTTAATTAAAATAAAAAAAAAATAATAGAAATGGGGTCTCACTGTGTTGCCCAGGCTAGTCTTGAACTTCTGGCAGTTCTTCCATCTAGGCCTCCCAAAGCACTGGGATCATAGGCGTGAGCTACCGCCTCTGTGGTACTTAGAACTTTAAAGCCAAATTCGTTTGAACTGTGACACAGTCCCCTGCTCCCCAACCCTCACGGCAGGGCGGGAACGGGCGTCCACGCAGTGTCAAGCACAGGATTTCTACAACCCACTGGCTAGTGCACTGGCTCTGTCCCACAGGCTGAACGGGCTCAGGTGAGGTGCTTTACCCTTGGTCACACAGGTTCAGAGCCACGTGTCACAGGCAGATTCCCTCGGTTCACCCCCACTGGCATCCTGGGCACCTGGGTTGGTTTTGCCTCTTGAGTCAGCAGGTCCAGGAGGCCCCTAACAATGAGGGGTTCCTCCCCCACCCAGTTCCTCTCCCACCACATCCTCAGAGAGGTATCTTCAACTTCATCTGTGGCTTCTTAACCTGACATGAGGAGGGGCAACAGCCGTAGCCTCAGCCTCCTCCTGGGACCTGGAAGGGGATGCTTTCAGTTGCTCTGAGCTTGGTTCTGAGAGAGACCAAGACAGGGCTCTCTGAGGACTCCAGCCCTCTCAGGACTGGTCATGGGCTTCTAGCCAAACCCTGCAGGCCCGGCACAGAAGGCCCCCACTTAACACTCGTGTCTGCCCTGACAGAGGGATATTTCCCCTGCCTATCAGGGGAGGCTGGGAAGAGGTGGGCCCCTTGCCTAAGATCACATAGCCAGGTAACAGCGGAGCCGGGGTTTGAGCCCAGATGGCTCGGAGCCTGTCCTGAGCTCTCCTGTGCCCCCTGACACCCTAGCACAGAGCCACGCCTGTAGGAGGAGGGCTGCTCTCACTGGAAGGTGCTGTCCCGTGTGATGGAACCCTGTGGCCCCTTTCGGACGTGGATGCCAGACACCAGCCAGTTCTCATAGATGAGCTGGTCGCCAGCCACCTGTGGGAAGAGACAGCTGGGTGAGGCTTTCTTGCGGGGACCAGGCCCCAGCCTGTGGTCCCGGCTCCTACCTGCACTGTGGTTCCACAGTGGGTGAGAGGGAAGTAGAAGACCACGAAAGCTTCCGTGTGCTCTGTTGGGGAGCAGCTGGTGGGGGCGTAGGCCAGGTGGACGTTGGCCAGTGTGATCCTGTGTGTCAAGGCCACTTCTTGGGACACCACAAGGATGAAGTAGCCATCTCTGAAACACTGGAGAGTAGCTGGGACAAAGGTAGATGAGGGCCTTGGGGTTTGGTGTCCATCCAGCACAGACAGGGGATGTCTGGGTGACAGCCAGGCTTTAAGTGCGGGCCCGGAAGTCTGGACGCTTACTCTCTACTTAGGCTGGTGTTGACCCCAGCAAACCCTTTATGGACCGATTTTTCTCATCCATGAGACAAATGAGTTGAACTACACTCTAAAAGTAGGCTCCCCATATAATCTGTTATCCCAACCAGGGTGCTTTAGATCTGAAGGTACAGATGTGTGTAAAGGTAGATCTATTAATACTTCCTGGGATAGTTGTTATAAGGCCAGCTGGGACCTGTGACCGCCCCATCTAAAGGTCTCCTCTGCCATCTGCTGTGGGAGTTGGGCTCTCCAGGAGGAGGATGGGAAGCAGTTTCCACCAGCTGGAGGAGACAGCTCTCCTTCCGCTTCGGAATCCAGGGGACCAGGATCGTGCTGGGGTAGGAGGTTGTACCTGTGTTGCCATAGTAACAGGGAACCTCTCTGGTGTTATCATAGCAGCAGCCAGCCTGCTGACAGGCTTCCTTTGAAGTTCTTCTCACGATGCAGGGGAGGTGCCCCGAGGCCACCTGGCACTGCTCCTGGCTCGGATGGGTACCTAGGGTTGGGACAGAGCAATGAGGCTGAAGGCACACAGTTTGCAAATCGTGGCCCTGGAATTGAATCTTGGGCACCTGCTCCAGAGCGTATGCTCTTAGCCAGCACACTAAATGTCCTCCCTCAAAACTGCATATTACTGACATTTCTAGAGAATGTTTTCTGAGAACCACGTGTTGCTGGCAATGGTTTCAGTGAGTTTCTGCCTAAAGTTAGGAAACAATTTTACAAGACTTCTTCCAGCTTTAGTATACCTGTACATGTTTAAAGCTGTTTTCCAAATACTACAAAGGAATAAAAGAATCATCTTTTTCTTAAAAAAGAAAAAAACCAAAAAAGAAATGGCTTCTTAGAGCCCAGTAAAAGGCTGTTAGACCACCCTGTACCCCAGAAGGCCCCAGGCAGAAGGTAAGGACACTCAGATGTCCTGCGTACCTATGTAATCTGGTTTGTTCACATCCCAGTGTTCCAAGGGACCCCAGTGGGGTTGAGCCAGGGTGGCGAGGGCAGGTCCAGGTCCAGGGGATGGTAAAGCAGGGGTTGGGTGGACAGAGCTGTGCCCTGGGTCCAGTGGGCTGGGAAAGGCATGGCCAGAGCCTGGTGAGGTGTGGCCAGAGGTGGGGAGGGAGGGAAGCGTTTGTGGAGTCGAGACAGAGAACATGGTGGGTGGTGCCAGCTGGGAGTCCGGAGTCCAGGAGTGGTCAGGTTTGGGACAGATCAGGGTAGTGTCTTGTGCCACATCCACACGACCATCGGGCCGCACAGCCTCCATGAACACTCTGAGGTGGAAACGCCCATCCTGCAGGTGAGAGGCCAGCAGGGAGCAGCAAGGTGAGGCCACCCAGGCAGGGGACGGGCCCACCAGAGCTGAGCTGGCCGTTAGGCAGGGAGCTGGATTCATGGTAGCTCCCAGAAAGTACCTTCCAGGACTTAGTTTCCCCCACCCACCAGCTCAACAGATCTTGGGCTCTGGTTCCATGAGGGGCCTCTTCAGCCTGAAGTGACACTAGGACAAGCTTGCTCCTGCACCAGAGCACGGACCCCTACCTTCTCCAGCACGTGGCAGCCTCTGTAATCAGCCGAGAAGACTGCAGGCTCCTGCGGCCTGGACGTGACCCAGTGGTAGCAGATGGAGCAGTTGTTGACATCAAATCGGTTCCCAAATTCATCTGTAGTGGGGGAAGGGGAGGGGCCAGGGATGTTGAAGGGTGCAGGGAGAGGCTGCTGGGGTCTCGGAAGGAGCTCCCACTCAGCAGCCAGATGACCTGAGTACTCGCCTTAGCTTTACTGTTGGTTTGTTGTGTGGTTTCAGGCAAGCCCCCTCCCCTCTCTGCTCTCAGCTTCCACAGCTGTAAGAGGATGGGGGGGGGCGGATCTTAGGATCTTTCTAGCTAGGGTTCCCTGCTCATAGCACACGGCAGCAGGCAGGCACGAAGGTGAGGTGGAGAAGGGATACACAGGGTCTCAGGCACCGGGCTATTTCATATCACTTCTTTTAAGCTTAGTTATCCGCATCCTGTGGCTGAGGCAGCTGAGGAAGGGAGGGTGCCTGAGCTTTCTCAGGTGCACACAATGAGGGGCAGAATGAGGATTTGAATCCTGGGCTTTGCAGAAAGATCTGAACCCATTTCCCAGGTTAACTGTGGCTGCTGCAGTCGCTTGGAGACACTCCCTAGGTGTCCACCCTGCTTGTTGGCCCAGAACAGCCTAGGCACTCTCTGGGTGTGGGCATGTCCCCATGCCCTTGTTCCATGAGCACGGCCAGGTTCATCTTCCCCACCTTGCAGATGAGGAAACAGAGGCTTTATGGGTCAGGTCAGTTGTCCAAGATCACACTGTTTAGAAGCTGCAGATCTAAACCCCAATTCCAAACCCACACCAGGCCACGCTCACTAGGTCCTGCTGCTGAAAGTGGTTTATGGACCCTCAGCCTCAGTATTGACCAAGTGTGGTTAGAGATGCAGAGCCTAGGCCGGGTGCAGTGGCTCACGTCTATAACCCCAGCAGTTTGGGAGGCCGAGGCAGGCAGATCACCTGAGGTCAGGAGTTCGAGACCAGCCTGACCAATATCGTGAAACCCCATCTCTACTGAAAATACAAAAATTAGCTGGGCATGGTGGCACACACCTGTGGTCCCAGCTACTAAAAGGCTGAGGCAGGAGAAGTGCTTAAACCCAGGTGGTGGAGATTGCAGTGAGTTGAGATCGTGCCACTGCACTCTAGCCTGGGGGACAGAGTGAAAGTAGTGAGAATCTATCTCAAAAAAAAAAAGAGAGAGAGAGAAAAGAAATGCAGAGGCTTGGCCCTGCCCCAGGCGCACTGAATCAGAACCCGCACCTCGACAAGGTGGCCAGGTGTTTCCCACGCACACTAACGTGGGAGAAGCTGCCCTGGGTGATGATTCTCCTCCTTGCCCTTTTCTGTGGTGAGGAGGTGGGGGCTGGACACCCCGAGGCTGGAGGGAGTCCTCTGTTCTTGCTCCTTCTCCAGGGGAAGGGTCCCAGCTCCCTTCTGGCAGCAGCCCGTGGCCAGGGAGGCAGGGGCCAGGACTCTGCCAGCACTCACCCACCACCTTGAAGCGGAGAGTCTGGCCCGGCCTGGGGAACACCAGCAACTGCATTCCCTTGATCCCACAGTCGTAGCTGTGCCGGAGGCCTGGGAGGCCAGGGTCAGGCTGGAGCCGCCTACCCAGCCCCAGGGTGGCGACCAGCAGCAGTAGGGCCACACGGTAACCCCAGGTAGTGGCTGAGCCTCCTGCCATGAGACGCCACAGACACACCCCTTTCTCCCTCACCACCAGAGCGGGGCCCAGGCCTTTTATGGAGGAGGTGGCAAGTGGGAGCCTCTAAGGGCAAAGGGGGCCCACCTGGAGGAGCGCCCACCTGGAGGAGCACCCACCTGGCCACCGGGGACTGTGGTGAAACTCCTGCCCCAAAGGCTGGGGGAGGCAGAAAGCTGCACGTGGCCCCTGACCCTGGCTTTCTGTCCCACAGCTGTGGCTTTGGAAGGGAGGAGGGAGCTTCCCAGGAAACTGAGGCTGCAGATGGGCTGTGGGAAGGGATCCAGGGCTGGGAGGTGGCCCTGCAGACCTCAGGCCCTCCGCTGTCTCCCTCCCACCCCAGCCTTTCCACATTCCCTCCCTGCCCCAACAGGCTCTCCAGGGCCTCCTTCCTGCCTTGAGGCCTCAGGACCACTGGGAGCTGCAGGCCTGGTTAGCGCAGTCACAGCTCCTCAGGCAGGGCTTTACGGGCCGGTAGAGCAAGACCAGGAAGACACGGCCCTCAGAGCTGGCAGCGGAATGCGGGCTGCAGGTGAGTAAACAGACCAGTAGCACCTCCAAGGGCTCTCCTGAGGATCCAGCCGGTCAGTATGACGATGACTATGACTAATAAAAAAATAACAAGGACAACTAAACGTAATGTGTCATCTGGATGGGATCATGGAGCAGAAAAAGGAAGTAAAAGCGAAGAAAGTGGATTTTAGTTCATAATAATGTGCCCACATTGGTTTGTTCATTAATTGCAATAAGTGGATCATACTCATGTAAGATCATTCATGAGGTAAACTGGGCCTGCGGTGTATGGGAACTCTCTGTACTATCTTGTCAGTTCTGTATATCTAGAACAGTTCTAAGACATAAAAGTGGCTGGAAACAACAAGAATGGTCTGCGGTCTGCCATGATTACAGTGCCAGGCCTTGCTTGTGTTCGCTCCTTATACCACCTGACCATCCTCTGAGGGAGGGACTGTCACCAGCCCCACGTCCCGGCGCTAATTCCTGCAAGTGATTAGCCTAGGGTCTAGCAGCGTTTGAGCTCAGCAAACATTAGGAAACTGAGCTCAGCAAACATTAGAAAACGCGGCTATTATAATTAGCAGCTGCTGGAAGGGGACAGGCTTGATAGCTAAGAGGCCGGTGCTGGTGAGGTTGCAGAGAGAAAGGAATGCTTACACGCTCTTGGTGGGAGTGTAAATTGGTTCAACCATTGTGGGAGGCAGTGTGGTGATTCCTCAAAGAGCTGAAAACAGAACTACCATTTGACACAGCAATCGCATTACTGGATATATATCCAAAGGAATATAAATTGTTCTATCATAAAGACACTGAACATGTGTGCATATGTTCAGCGCAGCACGATTCACAATAGCCAAGATATGGAATCAAATGCCCATCAATGGTAGACTCAATAAAGAAAATGGGGTACATGCCAGATGCGGCGGCTCACGCCTGTAATCCCAGCACTTTGTGAGGCTGAGGCGGGCGGATCACGAGGTCAGGAGATCGAGATCATCCTGGCTAACACGGTGAAACCCCATATCTACTAAAAATACAAAAATTTGCCGGGTGTGGTGGCGCTCACCTGTAGTCCCAGTTACTCGGAGGCTGAGGCAGGAGAATCGCTTGAACTCAGGAGGCGGAGGTTGCAGTGAGCCAAGATTGCGCCATTGCACTCCAGCCTGGGCAACAGAGCAAGACTCTGTTTCAAAAAAGAAAAAAAAAGGAGAAGAAAATGTGGTACACATACACCATGGAATACTATGCAGCCATAAAAAAGAATGAGATCATGTCCCTTGCAAGAACATGGATGGAGCTGGAGGCCATTATCCTTAGCAAACAAATGCAGTTACAGAAACAAATACCACATGTTCCCACTTACACATGTACTCACATATAACTGAAGGCTAAATGATGAGAACACATGGACATGTAGAGGGGAACGGTGCACACTGGGGCCTTTTGAAGGGTGGAGGGTAAGAGGAGGGAGAAGGGCGGAAATAATAACTCTTGGGTGCTAGGCTTAGTATCTGCATGATGAAATAATCTGTGCAACAATCCCTCTTGGCATGCGTTTACCTGTATAACAAACCTGCATAAGTAACCCTGAACCTAAAATAAAAGTTTAAACAAAAAAAGTCGGTTCTAATGGTGCCCCAACCACTTTCTTAGCTGTGACTCAGACGCGTTATCTATTCTGAGCCTCAGGTTTCCTGTTTGTAAACGGGGGTGATGATGCTTTCCTTGCCTGCATGGTGGGCAGGAAGACACACAGAGACAAGTCATGGGCACCAGATGTAGTAATGATTTAATGCTTGGCAATAATTCACTTCTAATGTGATTAGAGCTCAGCTGGGGAAGCTTGGTGGGGCGGGTTGGGGGTCTCCCTGGGAGCACAGTGGGAAGAGACACTCAACACAGCATCGAGGGTGGGCGACATGGAAGCGTTTTTGGAGGAAAGGGGTCCTAAGCAGAGGTGGGAGGAGGCGGGGAGGACAGGGATGGTGCGATGGGGATCTGGGGAGAGCAGGGCTGGAGGAGGGAGGAAGCAGGTCACATAAAGGTCTGGGACAGGGACTCCAGGCAGGCTGGGGGTGCTGTCGAGGGAAGGACTAGGAGGGGAGGGAGAGGAGCCAGGCAGGAGCGGGGAGAGGGATGGATTTTTCCTGAGGGACAATGTGGAAGTTTTAAACTTTTAATTTTGAAATTATTTCAGATTTGCAGAATTTCCATATAGCCTCCTCCAGATTCCTCAAATGTTCACTGTTCACTTTTTACATTTGCCGTAGCTCCCCGCTTTCTCTCTGTGCGTGTGTGCAGACACACACACACGCATACACACGCACTTTCTTCCATACCATTCAAGAGTCGGTTGCAGAAATGACAGATTCCCCTTTACCTCTAATTACTTCAGTATACATTTCCTAAAAAAACCAAATCACCCCCATAGTCAAATGATCAAAATCAGGAAACCAACATTGGTATAAACACAACGATCTAATCTGCAGACATTATTGTAAGAATTAAAGAGGAAAGAAACATGAAAGGGCGATTCCACAGGCAACAGGGACAGGTTTATTTTGAATAAACCTGAGAGGGGCGGCTGGCCGAGGTAGGTGAGAGCCCCACTCTGTTACAGACTAAGAGTTTTTGAGGATTTAGGGTGGGAGAGTTTATCAGAGGCTGGGACTGCTTCTGTGTCTCTTTGCTGTGCGTATCTGGGAGGGAGGGTCGTGTGTCTGTTCCCATACATCTTTCTGCAGCTGCAGGCATATCCCCCGAGTCTGCTTCTTGCTTCCCTAGCTTAGTGCACCTGAAGGGAAAGGAAGGTGCTTACTAAGGCCCACTGTTTGACTGGGGCTCACTGTGTGAGGATGAAGTTTGGCAGTTATCAAAGAGATTTTCCCTCCACCCCTCTCTGTGCCGGAGCTGTCTTATCTGTATTTTACTGTCTGCTCTTTCTGGCTGTTGTAGTTAGAAGAGAAGTGATTGCCTTGAAATGTATGAGGCTAGAAAGGGAGCAGGAGCTTGAAGTGGCAGTATTTGTCCGAGATGACGGTGCTCCTGCTCTAGCAGTTATTCAACATCTGCCGACTGTCCTAACCGTGACTTTCATGGCAAAGGAGTGCAATGGTTTTGCAAGTCTGCAGGATCCAATCCAGGCTCAGAGTCTTGCTGGCGTGCCTCTCGGCCTGCTCCCACCTGGGACCGCCCTTCTATCTTCTCTTGTCTTTCATACCCTTGACATTTTCGAGTACAGCCCAATAACTTTGCAGAATGGCCCTCGGTTTGGGTTTGTCTGGTGTTTTCTCCTGATTACATTAGATTTAGTTGATGCATCTTGGCCTTGTATTAGTCAGTTTGGCTGCTCTAACAAAATACAGACTGAATAACATACAGGCTTAATAAATACAGGCTTAAATAACAGTCTGTTTCTCACAGCTCTGGAGCTTGGATATTCTAGGTCAAAGTGGCGGCAGGTCTGGTTGCTCCTGAGGCCTCTCTCCTTGGCCTGCAGATGACTGTCTTCTCACTGAGTCCTCACGTGGTCTTTCCCCTGTGCTGCTGCATCCTTGGTGTCTCTTTGAATGGTCAAATTTCCTCTTCTTCTGCCTGGCCCGGTGGCTCATACCTGTTATCCTAGCACTTTGGGAGACTGAGGCAGGCAGATTACCTGAGGTCAGGAGTTTGAGACGAGTCTGGCCAACATGGTGAAACCTCATCTCGACTAAAATACAAAATAATTAGCCTGGTGTGGTGGCGCACACCTGTAATCCCAGCTCCTCAGGAGGCTGAGGTGGCAGAATCGCTGGAATCTGGGAGGTGAAGGTTGCAGTGCTAGATGGTACCACTGCCCTCCAGCCTGGAAGACAGAGTGAAACTCCATCCCAAAAAACAAAAACCAACTTCCTCTTCTTCTAAGGACACCAGTCAGATTGGATTAGGGCCACCTTGAGGGCCTCAATCTTCAATCACATCTTTAAAATCTCTATCTCCAAATATAGTCACATTCTGGGGAATGGGGGTGGGGGATTAGGGATTTAGCATATAAATTTTGGGGGGATACAATTCAGCTCGAACAAGCAGGAGAACCCCAGAAGTGATGTCATTTCCTTCTCAGTGCATCCTATCCAGAGGCACACCCCACTGGCTTGTCCTGTTACTGCTGATGTCACTTTGATAACTTGGATAAGGTGGTGTCTGCCAGGTTTGTCTACCATAAAGTAATGACGTTTCTCTTTGTAATTCATGAGTATCTTACAGGGAGATACTTTGAGACTATGTAATTAATCCTGTTCCTCTTCAAATGTTCACCGGCTAGTGTGGTGGTTGCCAAGTGGGTGGTGGTTCTCTAACTCCACCCTTCCTTCTGCATTTATTTGCTTTCTATCATAAGAGAGAACTTTTTCTAACAGGGGCTTTTAGGGGCCAGAGAGAGCATCAGCTGGAGTCTTTGAGAGGCCTAGATTTTGCCTGGTGCTCAGTGTTTATGAGCACA